TAATTATTTGTTTTTTTACTTTTAATCTTGAGATTTATTATTATTTTTTAGGTAAAAAAGATTATTTTGAATAAATATAAATAAATTACTATTATTGAAAAGTAAAGAAATAAATAGTTAAAATTTTATATAAATATAATGTATAAAATTTGAATTTTTCCTTATAAATATTTAATGCTACCATTTGCATATTAAATAAGGTCTATATTTAACAATTGCTTATAAAAATAAAAGGAAGAGAAAGAGATGCATTAAAAGGAAGTAACATATAAGTGCATATAATATCATAAGTGAGCTTTTAAATGAAAAGAACAATTATATAATAACATATTATATTATAATTTTATAATATTATGTGATATTATAATTATAGTATTTTTGAATTAAAATTAAAGGATGAAAATTAAAGTAAAAAAACATATTGTTTCTTTTAAAATATTAAAAAAGGCACAAATTTAAATAAAAAAAATTATTATTGTGGGATGGAGATAGTAAGATAACGAGGCAATTTTAGTAATAAGGTAGATAATTAAAGTGGATTATTAAAGTTAAACAATCACAATAAAGTTCAAATATAAAACAAACATTTTTAAAAAAAAATTGAAAAAAAAAATTAATTTAAGGCAAAATTTGAGTTAAAAAAATTGCCAAATATCTTGAGACAATGAATTAGTTCATATGATGATTTTTTCTGACAAGCAGTTCAAATGATATATTTAATTAAGATCAATCAAATAAGGAAGGGTATAGATCTGGCAAATAGTTCGGATTTGGTGGGTTTGGATTGGGTCATCTCGGATCTTAGATTGTTTAGATTGAGTTATTTTGGGTGTTGAATTAAAGAGATTGACCCATAATCCATTCATACGGGTCTCGAATTGAGTTCGGATGGACCCAACTTTTAAAAAATTAAAACTAAAATTAAAATTATTCTATATTTTTCTATATTTTTCTATATTTTTCTTTAACAAAATCTAATACTAATTAATTATTTAGTTAAAAAAATTTATTACTAATTAACTATTTAATTAGAAAACTTATTAAATGTTAATTTCCATTTCATAATTCAATTTTTTTTCAATCTCAAGAAAAGAAAAGGAAAAGATTAGTGATTATATAGGTGGAATTAAAATATATGTCGAGTATATAATACTTATATAATATTTAGAATTCATAATTTTATAAAGCTATTAACTTTCATTAAAAGAAAAGACATGAAGGATTAAAGTTTATAAGATAAATCCAATATATATATATATTAATAACTAGTGCCTATTCAATATTTATAAGAGTATTATACAAAAAATATAGCTATATTCAATATTTAGGAGGATATTACACAAAAAAAATATAACCTTATTTAATATTAAAGTTTAAAAGGTAAATCCAAAATATGTCTAACCAAATATAAGAAAAAATTGGACCAAAATTGATTTTTATTAATTAGGAACAAATTATTAATTAAAAACAAATTAACAACTAAGGGTGTGTTTGGTGCAGCTTCCTAGCTGCTTTAGTTTCTTAACATTATTATGTCTCGCAAGTTTAAATTTCTCTCCTAAAAACTTATATTTTTAAATCATTTTTTACCCTTAAAAAAACCCTAAACAGTAAAAGATCAAAAGTTTCAAATTCAAGTTTTTCATAAACTTCTTTTTTACTCACTTTTTCCCATTTCTAAAAACAACTTTTAAATTTTCCTTTCAATAAAAATTTAAACTTATCACTCATGAACAATACTCTAAAAGTAAAAGCTCTAACAAGCTGCACCAAATAGGCCCTAAGAACGAACTTCAATGTTTTTGATATTTTTGTCTTTGTATTTCTAATGGTTATAAGGGTACTTTAACTAGTGAGTTTTGATTTTTAGTAGGTATTCTTGCTTTTTACTTTTAAAAAATGATCTATTTTATGATGTCATATAACATAACTTATTATGTGCCATCTAATCCAATTTTGTACGTGAGTGCTATCAAAAAGAAGGATTAGAGATCTTGAGATGAAGAAAGGGAGAGTGAGACTGGAAAAGAGGAAAAGTTGAGAGAAAATAAAATTGATGAGAGATTAGGGTTTAAGTATTTTATTGATTTCTACTTTTAGGATTAGGAAATTAAAAATTAAAAATTAAAAATTAATTTTTAAATAATCTAATAAAAAATGAATAAAAAAAGTTTAAGTCATTTCGAGTGACTTGACCCACTCGTGATTCAACCCATTTGGATTCGGATAATTTTAATCCGAGTCATTTTAAATTTCGGATTAACATATAAGATCCATAACTCAATCCATAACAGATGGGTTAAGTCAAATTTTTGGATTAGGTCCAATTTTGTCAGCTCTAGAAGGGTATGATTTTTAAAAATAACACATCAGTTCATTTTTAATACTTGTAATTTAACTTCTAAATTTTTTAAATATAAATTTAAATGAAAATATAATAATCTATGTAAAAAATAACTAATTTTTTTCCTATATATAATTTTTGTTAAATATTTTTATTTGATATAAAAATTTCAATTATTATTTATCTAATATGTTAAATTTTTATTTAAAATTATATTCAAAAAATTAAAAATCAAACTAAAACTACTAAAAATTAACAAAAGGAGTACATTTTTAAATTTTGCTTTCACTCAAGTATAGCTTGTATTCAACAATTAACACTCAATTAGTGTACCTATCAACAACTCTTACAGTGTATTTGGGTTGAAAAGAATGGATACTAGGGAAGGGAAGAGAAAAAAAAAATTATTTAATTATTAAAAAATTGAAGAGGGGAGGCAAAAATTCTTTTTACTTTATTTTTATTTTTATTTTTTTATTTTGATTACACAATGAGAGGTAATTATCTTTCATCTTTTATTTTACTCTACTTACATGACATGCGACTAGAATTTAATATCTCTTACTTTTAACAAAAAAAAAACTACTGAACTATTTATATCGTTAGTTACTTTATTATCTTTTTTAATTTAGCTATTCAAGATATGGTTGAAGATGATGTTTCTTACTAAAATTTTCTACTTTAACCAATTTGTCTTCAGTTTATACAGAGTATGTTAGAATATTACAATTTAATTTGACTTCAATATTCATATAGATATTAAATGATTTATCAAAAAAAAAAATTACTGAACTATTTATATCGTTGGTTACTTTATTATCTTTTTTAATTTAGTTATTCAAAATATGATTGAAGATGATGTTTTTTACTAAATTTTTCTACTTTAACCAATTTGTCTTCAGTTTATA